GTACACTAAGAAGAAATTTCTTGTCTAGAAACCTCTTGAATATTTCAAAGATCTGATAAAATTACAAGAAAAACAAAGTAAAAGTTTTGTAAAAAATATATATATATATATATACATTATAATATATAAACATGTAAATACGTAATGAATTTAAAACATAAAAAAATTATCTTGCTGTTTTTACAAAGTGATAACTATACTAGACGTTGATATATTTTTAATGTACGTATAATTCAGTAGAGATGAAGCCTGATTTATTGTTTTGTATGATGTTTAAAGTAGATATAAAACATTTTCATATATTAAAAACATTTTTATAACTGTTTTTTGTCTTAATCTATTGATTATAACGGTTATGGCGCCGTCCTGGAGATCTGGGATCAATCCCGACCAGCCCTTCGGGAATTTTTCGGTGGACTGCGTGTTCTGGATATGTCGGGCCCATCTCTCACCACTCAGCCTGGCTTTTTTATCATACCCATCGTGGGTTCGACCAGGCCACAACGGCCTGGCTGAACCCACGATGGGTACGATTAAAAAGGCCCTATTGATGCACAGGCGCGAAACAAGACAAAACGAAAAAAGAAAGACACTTATATTGAGGGATAAAGATTTAACTTTAATTTTTCGAATACTAATTAAATCATTTTTGAAACTAAATTTTGAAAAAAGAAACATTTCTGTAAGGAATTGAATTCGATTTGAATTTTCATGAAATTTGAGGATTTCAATTAATACAGTTCACATCCTGGTATGATTTCTCCTCTCCATAATTTGTAAACATTCCACAAGCAATAACCAACTGCAGAAAATGTTAAAATGATTCGAGTGCAATTCATCGGGAGAGTATTTTTTCTGGCGAGCACCACGGGACAATATGTAGAAATTAAATGAAGTGGCAAATTTGCTCTTTCAGAAGGACTTTTTACAACCCTGTACTTGGAGCAAGGATCAAATTGCCACGCGACACCATACATAGCTGTGCATACAAAATTGATAGCACCCAATGAGCAGTAGAAATGGGGATTCTTAGGCCAAAAGTAGGCTGTTGCTAACGTTCCTAATCCAGTGTATAATGATAATCTATTTAGAAAACGTCCGAATCCAATCCAAACTGAAGTCATCTCTCCCAATTCTAAAGGCTCAATGATGATGATGCGTGTTCCGGATGCCATTGCCTTTTCTAACTCATCGTCTGCTGTTGCTGAAGTCTCTTCCCAGTCATGATCTTCGAATACAATGTTTATGCCCTGTTGCCTAAGCTGATCTCTGTATATATGCATAGAAAACAAATTAATCTATAAGAAAACCTGTAACAATGTTTATGTTATAGCTTGCCTCAGGTCATCTGCAGTACGAGAACAGTTGCTTCTGGATACGGCCATTCCAAATTTATAAATTTGAAAATCGTTTTTATTTAAATATCAGCATTACGTGAAGATAGACCGAAAATTATTGTTATAACTTGTCTTTAAAATATTTATTGTTTCTAATAATATAATTATTATAATTAGAGGAATGTAATTGTTTTTTAATCGACTTGAATATTTGAGATTTCTGTTAATTTTTATTTTTAAAAAAGCGTAAATAAATAAAATCATTTTTACTTTATTTTTGGCTCGTTTCATCCTATGCGCATTGAGAGGGCCTTATTACCACTTATGGCGTGGTGTAACAGATGTAATAATTTTAATATTAAGTTTAAAATCATATTTAATGTTTTATATTTGCATCTAGTCAAGAAATATTTATAATAAACAGCTTTGTTATAAATACTCTCCATTGTACTGTACAATGTCCGTGCCATGTCTTCCTTTTTCATAAAAGAAAATTGGCAACCATACTACCTGGCCACAAGATACGTTATATCCTACCATAATTCATAATTAAGTTTATTTTGAAACTATTTCTGCCCTGTGGACATTAAGAAAGCGTTTTTAACAAGCCTATTATGGGTTCGGTCAGGCCCACAATGAGACAGCTGGATGATAAAGGATGGGGCCCGACATTTCCCAAAAATTCCTGGGGTTTTTTCACCTATCCAGATTCGATACTGGGTGCCCCAGAAAGGTAGGCTGCCACCTTTGCCGCTCGGTGATCCAGCCACCGCTAAGATTAGGTACTGTAATGCCAATCTCAGTCGTATATTTAGCTTACTTTATTTATACTCATTTTCACGAAATTAATCACGCAAAAACGTTTAATATATATATATATATATCATATAAAATAAAATATTTAAAATTATTCGAAGAAATCGAGTCTTTTTCAAGCATTTATATTTAAAATGTTTATTTTTACTTGGCAACATTTACTCTACTTATAATTTTTTTTTTAATTCGAAATTTATCATCGCTGTCAAATATATATAGAGCTATCATACTAGTCGGTGATTTTGTAATAAAAATATAACTAGGTCATACAGGAGTATTAAGATAACTAACACATTAATTTTTAAAAATTAGAAAGAAGATTCGCTTTTAAATACAGTAGACGTCATTAATTAAAAAGGTGATAACTAAAACTAACATATTTTAAAAATATAATTATTTTTTTGTATAATTTATTGAATAAATTTAAGACCGTATAAATAAATTTATTTTAGTCATTTAGTTAAATAGTTAATTATTATTAACTTGTTATATTTTAAATTAATACAATAAAGCAAGGTAAGTAAGCAAACCAATGACGTGCTCCGTTTCATATAAAACAGAGTATCTGATTGGTTTTCTTACCTCTCGTATGTATATTCAGCGTGGTGCTCGTTGCGCCGACTGTTGCAAGTGGCGTAATGTGCGTCAGATGATTATACATTATATTCTTATAATATACATATTATTATCATCAAAGAAAATAATAAATGATTATATATATGTTAAATGCAGATATGTACATAATCGAATTTAAGATTTAAGCTAGAAAATTTTTAAATAAAATTATTATTATTATTGTAAAAGATGGGAAAAAAAGAAAGAAGAAAGTCATTAGTGAAGGATTCAAATGCAGCCACAAAGTCAAAAGAACAGGAGCAGTTATATTTAATTCAAATTAAAGATTTGACATCAAAACTGGAAAGGTTAAGTATATTAATCATCATAAGTACAGTAGTAGCAGTTTTTTAGGTCATTTATTTATATATAATTACAATACAGGAGAAAGCAATTGGTTGAAGAACTGCAGCAGGTTAATAATGAGTACAAGAAAAAGTATGAGAGAGAAGTTAAGGATAAAGAAGATATTGTTGCTTACTTGAAGCATACCATTGAAAATTTTACGGTGGAAATGAATCACCTTCGAGAAAAAATTATCGGATTGCAGAAAGAACATGAGACAGAAAAGAAGAATTCTGAAAATAAATTAATTTCATTGGAAAAAGAATGTAATCAAGCTTTGGAGAATCTAAAGGAGGAAAATCTAACATTAAGTAAATGTTTATCTAATTTGGTTATTTTTGTTATTGAATTATCGAGAGGAAAATAATATTTCTCGGAGCTTTATGTTAAAATTAATGTTTCTAATGAGAAATAATTACAAATTACAATTATTTTTCATTTTTTCCTCCCATTTTTGACTCTTTCTGCCCTTTGGCTATCTTACCCACAGACCAGAAACCATGGCACATTATAACTTCATGGGGTCCAGGCAAATTTGAATTAGGGGCCTCCAATGTTCTGTGTTGACTTCAGATCTTTTTCTTCAGGGGAATTTTTTGGGGGGAATCCCCTTGATATCCTAATTAATTTTTTAATGGGCCCTGTGGATAGTTAAGTTATGAACTGCACCACACCAACAATCTAGATTCTGGATATGGCCCAAATTTAAATTTTGATACTCTTGCTACAGTAATGAGTTTATAAAAGATTGATTTGAGATCCCCTGTTGGTGGGACCCCAGACAATTGCTCTTTTTG